TAGACGTCTGCTGTCCTTACCACCGCCACCTCCATCACCACTAGCCCTAATGTTGAGGCGACCACGACTGGCTTCTACTTAAAATCGTCTTCTCCCGCTGGCACTTCCTCCTCCTCCTCCACTGCTGATATTAATCATCTACTCTCCTCTGCCTTTATCTCCTCATCCATTGCTGCTTCCTCCCATGAGTCCGCCTGCAATCACTCCTCTGATCCGCACTCACTATTCCAACTACCAATAAGACAGTCATCTTTCCATTCTTTGACGTCCATCATCTCCCGTTAGAGACTCCTGCTAATCGCACTCTGCCACCATCACCAATATCATCCAAGAAATCCGTCGGCAACATTAGTGAGTATCTCCCCTCTCTTTACATTCTGTTGCCATCATTAAGCACCTTCTCCTCACAGCAATTCCACTTACTCTCCCATTTCCTACTCAGGTCTCATCGATGACTTTCATTCGGAGGGTAATCTGACCAAGCCGCAATGTCGAGCGCTATTTAATGATGACGACGACAACATTGAGTTGGCGAATGAGGAATCAGAATGTGGCCTGTCTGATTATCTAGCTGAGAGCCGATGGTCGGATATGGATGAGCAGGCGGAGAGGTAGCAGTTGTCACCCTCCTAGTTATGCTACACTTCTGTTAGCATCGCGTGGTCATCCTTAACAACAGTATCACCACTCTCGTCACAACAATTATCAACCGCTTATGCTGCGACGGAGGAGGTAGATGTGAATGTGATTGCGAATGTGGAGGCGAATAAGGGCGACGTGGATATGAGTATGAGAGTGATGATGGCGAATCCGGAGGAAGAGAGCCACACATTCTCTTGCTCGAAATTCCCTGGTAAGTGACTCTCGTTGAGCAACCATGTGAATGTATTCCTGCACTACACGTTGAAACGAGTTAGTCAGTCAATCATTCCGTCGGTCTGTCAGTCTGTCATTTAACTTGCTAGTCAGTCAGCCAGCTGCCTGGTTAGGAAAAAAGGAGAAAAGAGGGATAGAGTAAAAAAAATAGATAGGGGAATTCATAGATGAAAAACTAGATGAACATCCGAATAAAAAGGAAGGTGGCGATTTTGCGCCTATTGCTGCTACTACGAGGTGTAGCAAGTCGATGCTTGCAAAATGGGAGAGTGGATAGATAGACAAATGAGTGAGGGAAGGGACAATGTAAAGGGAGTGAGTATTTATGTAGATAGGTAGGTCATGCGGCAAATGGATGGATGATGGGGATAAGGAAACCAGTGCTTGTCTTGACCTTTCAGCCTGAACCTCATTTACTGCACATCTCTTCTCCTAGCCGCTAACCCGCATTTCCCTACTTTCCCACATTTAATTTTCTCATGCCTTTCTTACCCGCGTGGACTCACTCCAACCCCTTCCTCTTTCTTTCCTCCCATTCTAGTCGTCCAAACGACGGTGGTGGCGTCTCCGACATGTCCTGTCATCTTTCACCACATTAAAATGAACCGGTTGGAAAAGAGTAATGAATAGAGCAACTAAGAGCAGCTAATGAACAGGAAATGCAAGTAATACTGTAGGAGCATGTCTGCACAATAGGTCACTCAGACAAGAAGCGCTATTGTCTTCAACGCGATCTGTCCCCATGCCCAAGGAGATGCCTATCGTGCATTTATATGC